AAAACGAATGTCAGTTGTCAATAGAGGCATCCGCGCGGTTTTTGCGGCCGCAGCAAAATGCATCCCTGCTTGTCTGGAGCATCCGCATGTGAGGAAATAATAATAATAATAAAAAGAAAGAGAAAACAATACAAACAACAACAACAACACCAAAGTGGTCTCAATGAAGGTCACATTGTGGCTATTCGCTAAGGGCGGATGGACGTCACCCGAAATCCACCGCGCTCGTTGACCTTTGCTGTGAAGGTGACTTTGTCTCCCTTTGCCCACTGCCGCCGCCGCAGCCACGGCTCGCCGAGGTGCACCCGCTGGTTGGGGTGCTCCGTGCCGGAGGGCTGGATAAACACGTAGCGGTTTGTCACCATGCACACGACTCCCTCCGCATCCCTCATCGACTCCGGAACGTCATTGTGGCAAAGGGGACAGCGCGCCTCCAGGTGCACCAGACCACAGGTGGCGCATTTGGCCGGAAGGAATGGGCAGGCCTCGGCCGCCTCCTCGACTGCGCTCTCCACCGCGGCACGCTGGACACCACAGAAGATACAAAATGCCTCGAACTCAACGTTTACCCGCTGGCATTGGAGACACTCCCACGCCTCCGTCGGGCACTTCTCCTGCACGCAAGGACGCAAGGCCAGACAGTGTTGACACACGTAGCTACAAACATCTGCGTTAGAGTTTTCAGCTCCACATTCCTCACAAATCCATGGCTCTTTGTGATACACACATAATTCCTTCGGGTGGGTCCCGAGACAGTGTCGACATTGCCCCTCCAAAAAGTGTGGTGTTTCAAGCAGCCCACATTTTGTGTCGATGTATTCCAGCAGTTGTTTTGTCAACGCAATGACTCGCCGTACCAACGCATCGTAGGCAATAAACTTGTAGAGGCGGGTTTGTAGGCGCCCGAGCTCTACAGCCACCAGCACACGGCTTTCCTCAATAACTCTAAGCTCCACCTGAGTTTGAAAGGAGCACAGTAATTCTTGAAGCAGCGTTGTCAAACGCTCATTTACCCCGTCACGCTCCACCAGCTGCACAAGTCGCTTCAAAGTCTCAAGTATTACAGAAACACTCCAACCTTCACTTGATACTGGGGGTAGAAATCTGGTGCAGTGCGAGCATATGGCCTCAATAAGCAACGGTTCCACATCGTTGCCACACCCGTCGCAGTGGCGAGAAGCAACGTGTACGCGATCCGCATCACGCATATCCCCCCCACAGTCGCGGCAGTTATTTGACGCAGTTCCGCCCATAGTCATGGCACCGCAATGTGAACAACGGAAAGCCACCTGAGTCTCACCCTTCATCGTAGTTCCAACTACTATTTCCTCGACCAGTGGCCCCTGCTGCAGGGGCGCATCACACTGAAGACATCGTATTGCAAAGGGATTGTCAGACGGTAGCCGACAAGCAGGACAGGAAACAGAAGCACGGTTCTTCCGCACAACCGCAAACGGCAAACACTCTACCTGCGGGCAGTCAGGGCACGCACGGTCCAACGAACTCCGTAATTCCCCACACCCCTCGCAATGCCAGACGACAGAATTTATGGCAGCCCATGCTTCGCGAAACCAACCGCATCGTCTACAATATTGCACCACTCCCCGCCATGCATTTTTTGCATTCAACTCCTTGTTACTAGGGCAAGAGCAATGTCTCTGCTCTATACCTTTTAGGGACTTCGTCACCTTGGCAACAGGGCCAGTGAGTGCCTTGCAGCGGAAACAGAAGTACGTCTGACGGGCGGGGTTGCTTGCGCCGCAGTTGTCGCAGCTCCAGGAACGCCGCACTACAACTGCGGCAATGGCCTCCTTACGGATCCCCTCACCGCATGACTGACAACACCTCCAGCGCTCGTCCTGCGCATTTCCGCAGCCAGAGCAGACCACAAAACTGTTTCGAAGAGCGGAACAAAGACAGTAATTGAATCTATCACTGTTTAGTCGACCACATGAGGCACACTTCCACAACTTGTAGGCTGGGGCCAGCGACGCGTGTCGAGTCAAGACTGGATCCGGGTCACAGCGCCAGACCATCGACAGGTGCTCCACCGTTTCTCTCCTACCCTGGTCACGGGCGAAGCAGAGGGTGTAGTAATTCAAAAACGGAATGCCATTTGTGGAGGGATCCACGCGGGAGAACAGCTCCTTAAGCGCCAAGCTTGAGGATCTTTGCAGATTCCATAGAATGGATGACGTTAGCGGCACCGCAAAGTGTCTCAGAGTCACTGCAGTTTCCAACAGCTGGAGAACCATGTCGGTGTTTATGTCATCCCCAACGTACCTCGCCACAGTGCGCAGGAGTGGGAGCACATGGCCTAGCACAACGCGAGGAGCCGTGTCCTTGGAAAATTCTTTGTCGATGCGTGCGACACGATCGCATAGGCCAGCCACGACGTACTCAATACACTGGCTTACAATCATCCCCGGGTTATGAAAAGACACAAGCGCATGGTACAAAAAGTTCATGTCGGCGGGATCACCAGAACGACCCACGAGTGTACAAACAGCGTGAATCGCAAGCACTGCAGATAGCGGAATGTTAATCCACCCCTCCTCGCGGGACTGGGCCAATCGAAGAAGGGCCTGGTGGGACTGTGGCACATCCCCGCTCCGCACATGGGCCATGACAGAATGTGGAGTTTCACGAAGCATTGGCCGTGCCGCATACGCCTCACGCACAAGTTCCTCACGATGAAGTACAACAAGCACAGCGCTGCCATGTACGAGGCCTTCTTCAATATGCCGCGTCTCTCGATGACTTCTGCTCAAAGCGCGAAAAGCACGCACAATGACCTCAATGCAGTGGCAAGGCACAACGTTGCTAACGGCGACAGCAATGCCACAATTCGCAAGGAACTTGCACTGAACTGAGGCCGTTAACAGGTTGTGCTCCTCCATTGTGCGGTACACCTCGCAAAGCAAGAACACAGGCGCGTGCTTTAGACACGACATAACCTGTATGTACAAATCGCCATCTCTGTCGCTTGCGTTTCCTAAAAGCCAACGAAGTGCAGCTACAGCGCATTCATGAAAACCACCCATGGCCGATTCAACCAAAATAGCACCGGTATGACGCCCTCGAACGACAATAGCCAAATGGTGTAGACATAACTTCACAACCTCCACATTAACTTTCCTCCCACGCAAAATTGAAAGAACAACTGGGGCGACGTGAATTGAAAGAGTTGTCGCCAGAACTGCACGCAAACAGCCTTCATATTTCATATGATCACTCTCTGTGACGGAGTCCAGCAACCCCATGAGTTCTGTCAAAACCGCTCCCTCACTGTCCTCCACCTGCACGGCGTATTGCAGCAGTGAGACGAGCGCCCTTTGAGTCAACTGGCTCCCACAACAGCGCAGCATAAGTTGCACAACATGATGGTAACCATGACGATCCACAGGCTTTCTAACTGTCAGGGACCTTTTTGAAACCTCCGCCTCCTCCCTCGCCCTGCGCCGTGGGCCACACTTGCCAAACTCCTGCTCTGTGTCCTCTTCTTTTTGGCGGTACAACCGCAGGCTCTCTTCAGACGCGGCGAGCAGAGCTGCCAGGGCAGCGCCGCCGCCGTCGTCGTCGTCGTCGTCGTCGTCGCCGCGCACGCGTGACATCCCTGCCGCCGCGGACGTCACTGTCCACGCGGTCCAACAGCGCGTCAGCAACGTTAAGGCTAAAAACGGGGGGAGACGCTCCTGTTGCACCACACGCATGGAACTTTGGAAAAGCTCCTTTGGGGGGAACTCCATCCCAAGTGCAAGCGCGGAATACGGCGGGACCGCTCGGTCTGTGTGCCCAAAAATGGCCCCATGACTTCGCGCCATGTGAAGCGAATTGAACGTCCGACTAGCCGGGAGACGCATACTAACCGCAGAGTAAATTCTTCCACCTCCTGCTGCTGCTGCGCTCTCGTTCTGCTCCCCCAACTGCGCAAGTCTCTGGAGGAGAGGGAAAATGCACAGAAAAAGAAGGGGCCAAAACGCAGTCGACCTTCCGGATGTCGGGTAACGCCTTTAAAGAAGTTAAAAAAAAAAAGGGGGACGAACAAACGTCATTCACGACCACGACACACAGACACAGAAGAGGGGGAAGAGGGGCAGTTTTACTCCTCCTCAGTCATGCGTTTACTGCACAGGCGGCGAGAGGAAAAGGCACACATAATGTTTCACTCCAAAGTGCGGCGATGCACACTTCAAACGCAGCCCTGGAGCACGTCCCAGGGACTGATCAGCCATTTCCGCATGTCTCCCCCCGCTCACTGGAAATCGGAGTGGAGAGCGAAGCAAACCAATCACAGCACTCACAGCAGCGTTGGGGAGAAGAGGAGAGAAGACACAAAAACAACCACAAAAAAAAATAATAGTTGCTTCTCAGCTACGTCCCAAGCGTCAGCTCACTACCCATACTTTGATTAGCGCCTTCATGCAGATTCCGCATTCAACAAAGAGAACAACAACAACAACAGCAAAAAAAAAAAACAATCACACACACACGCACAAAATAAGATAACAACCACACTTTGAATCGTTTCCCTCACCATCCCCAAAGCCAAAAAAATCTCTCCCCCAGAATGACCTGCCCACAGAGGCACCAGATCCCCTACAAGCTTTCTATCAGTGTCTGCTTCCCTAGCGCTGCATCGTTACTACCATAACTACTACTACCACTACTATTGCCGTCAACATAATCCTTAATATCACCATTAACGACGAATACGCGAAGGAAAAAAAAAAGCGTCATACAAGTGTCTCAGGACGCTTATCTTCTGGGAGCGGAAATCCAGGCACCATATCGTGGACAATTTCATCCGGAATAAGTTTATGGCCAGTTGCATTTGTCATCGTACCTCGTTCCCAATTCGTGGGGGAGAACTCAGAGCGCATAAGAGCTCTATTAGGTTCGTGCCACATGATTGGGTTTGCGGGGTCTTTTTCGTCCCATCCACTAAGTCGTTGTGAGGCCGCCATGGTCCAATAAAAAGAATTCATATAGGTAGGAACGCCCAAGTAGAGTAAGCTGGGGAAAAACTTCTTGTCCTCAGCCGTGTAATCCTTCGTTAGCTCCATAAACTTTGACTTCAAAAGCTGACTGCGGTACGTTTCGTACGCGCGGCACACCATCCAGGCCTCCTCAAACTCGTGGCAGTTGGTCGTCCCCCAAGTTACTGGCTTCAAATTTTTAATGCAACGGTGAAATGGCACCCATCGGTGAACGCACTGGTCCCTAAATACAATCGGAACATTGTGCAGTTCCATAAAATTGCGGGACACAGACATTGGGCGGCGCTGGTGGCCGCGGTCTGCACCGAAAGGATCAAGCATGTTCCACAACAATGGGTTGTCGTAGGGGCCCAGATTGATGGGAGGCATCGGGTCCCCGGGCCCCGTCCTGCCGAGATCCTTCAAATACTCCGTCATGGCAAGAACAACTGCTAGAAACCAAAGCAAAAACAAAAAAGAGTGAGCAGCCTAGGTCTTACTTTCCCCCTAGTAGAATACGAGAGGAAGGCAACGCACAATGCGCATACGTTCATTTTCCACGGGTTCCGCCAAGAATCCAGCAAGCTCTTTCCGGTAAGCAAGTGCCATTCCAAGGCAGCTGCACCTTGTGCGTAGTCGTCAAAACACGGAAAAAAAGGAGGTGCCGAAGACGGCATTTAGCCCGACTCCCGTGCGAGGCGGGGGGCGGACCGGGATGTGTGGAGTGGGCATTCAAAACTTGGTCGTTGCGCAACTTCAACAGCGCAAGATTGAAAGCAAGATGTTTTGTCACTCGGGGATCAACTCGGCAAAGCAAAACAAAAGCTCCGCAAGGAGCAGCCATTTCTCTCGCAAG